GTACCCTCTGTGTGCATGAACTGGATTTCTTTTTGCGCAACAGGAGAGCCCAAGTGACCTGAAAAAGATTTCTTTGACGACGTCATAACTGACAGGCTCATTTTTTGTTTTCTTCTTCCACTCCGCCAAAGTGGTTTCTCCCAACTCCATCTCAATGTTGAACATTTGTGTCGTTTCGTCTTCGTCAAAGTAACTTTTGAACCAGTCGTACATATAAATGAAGTTGTTTGTGTACCTCAAGTTCATCAACTCCGAAAGAGCCTTAAACACTCTGCACTCCGTGTACGCCGAGTCGTTCTTGTCATTTGGTTTCCTCACTACTTGTTGCTTCAAAGCCACTTTACTTGGGTTTCTCGATATCGACGCCCTTGCATACACCCCACTCCGCCGCAATATATAGCCCCTTTCCATGAGAGTCGAAGTCGTTTTCGACAGTGGAACTTTGAATACAGTGTTAAGTGGTTTAACAGATGGTCTTGTTAACACTTGTGTGGCCATTCTGCTTGGTGGTTCGATGGGTTTAAACGGTGCCATTGACGGGCGTAGTTTCTGTTTTGGTATGTCGTACGACTTATCCTTGAGTTCAGCGATGGCAACACATCCAAATTTCCCACGGGCAATGTCTTCCCTGATTTCGATGTCGTTTTTCTGGGTTCGCGGATTTTTGTTCGGCGTTTCGACCAGCATTGATATTGTCTTGCGACAAGCCATTTTTTTTACCTTTTTCTGTTCTGTTCATTTTACTCAAAAAAATCTGAGTAAATGAGATGCATCTTTGAGACGACTAGTTGCCATTTCTATGGGAATGAAAATGTTTTAGTTGAATCATAGTTTTATATAGTAAATTAATAACGTGTAAAATTAAATGATTAAAATTGTGATTGAGAAGGACGGAATGAAAGAATAATTGAGGCTTAGAAAACAAATAAATTAGAACATATTATTGAGTATAACGAGAACTGAAAGGTTGTTGCTCAAGGGAACTTGTTGTGGATCGACATTACATGCAGTCCATGCTCCCATTTCTGTCTTGTTATCAATTACACGCTTCGCCGCAGTTTCCAAGACCGATTCTAACATCAATGAAAGTCTTTTGACTTCCCCCCGTTTCGGTTTCTTGGGGTTCCGCAAAGGAAAGGTTTGCCTCTTTTCTGTTTTGTCTGTGTTCTTTGTTTCAGACAGTTCGGCAAATGAAATTTTTTTCTTTCCTTCAACTACTTTGTTCAGCTTCTCGAAATCCTCATCAACAAACCCGTCCATCAGGCAACACTATTTTGTTTTCACAGTTCTTTTTTATGTTTTTAATAACAACAAAATAACATTTTTGTTATTTTATTTGTCAAATGATAGTTTAATTTATTATTTAATTGATTTTGTATAAATTTGTTATCTTTACTAAACATTTATAGTTAACTATAATTGTTTAATTATACCATAATCAAACTAAAGTAAATTTAAATGATAGAGCTAAACATAGTAGAGAAAGGCAAATTTTGATTCTCGTTCTGGAGTGGAAACACAAATGGGTTTCCTTTAAACCCGTAAGCGTCTCTGTCAAACTTTTTGCCAAAAGTCTTCTTCTCTTGTTCTGCTTTTTCTTTCTTCTCCTTTTCGATTCTGTCTTTCTCATCATCGTGTTTCTCTTCTTTCTTCTCTTCGCTCTTTTCTATACTCGCGGCAACTTCTTCTTTGCCAACAAATGGCTTGTCGTCGGTTTTCTGTTCTTCTTGGACTTCGGCGCTACTCTTGCTTTGTTTATTGAGTTCTTCAAGAGTATTGGCCAATTCTATTTTTCTCTTTGTCAGCTCCGCCTTCTTCTTCTCAAGCCCAGCGATCTCTTCTTGTAGTTGCACGATTTCTTTCTTCTTCTTTTCAACTAATGTATCAACCTCTTTACTTTCGTTCTCAATGTCTAACATTTCGTCTTCTTTTGTTTTCACATCTGCACTCTTGATTTGTGGTGTTTCAACGCTCTCTGGTTGTTTAACTGGTGATGCATTTTTTTCTTCACTTTGAGAATCAAAGTCAAAGCCCTTGTTCGTTGTGTCTCCAAACGAAAATCCACTGCTCCCGTTGGTTGGTTTGATTACCGATTTCGGTAATTTAGGGGCTTCTGCATTATCAAATGAAAACCCTCCAAAGTCAATCTCAGTTTTATCGAATTTCTGTGGCTGCATCTTTTCTTTCACATCTTTGATGTCTTTTGTCTCTTCTATTTTTATTTCCTCTTTCTTATCACTGTTTCCAAAATCAAATTCACTCACTTTCACAACTGATTCCACTTTCTTCTCTTCTTTCTTCTCACTCTCTTTATTCGCAAGGTTGACGGGATCGTCTTTTTTGTCTTCTTTCACTTCAATTTCTGTTGTTCCAAAATCAAAGCTTGTAGATGGAATGGCGGGATCTTCTTTTTTATCATTTTTCGTTTCATTATCAGGCATTCCAAAATCGAAGTGTAGCACAGGAGAGACGGGTTCTAGCTTCTTTTCTTGTTCCTGTGGGGTTTCAATTGGTTTTACTTCCACCTCATGCGTTTCAAAGTCAAACATATTGGCATACTTGTTTTCAGGTGTCTTCTGTTTATTCTCAGTGTTATTATTCAATCCTTCACCTTTCATTACCTCTTTTTTCTCTTCACCTTGCTTGTCTTCTTTTGCAATTTCCTTATTTTCATCACCGAAGTCGAACAACGATTCATTCCACCCCTTTTTCTCGTTCTTTTCACTCTTCTCAGTATTTTCAGTCTTTTCACTACTGATGCTGTTCTTGTCATCGTATGGGTTATGTACCTCCTTCAACGAGGCACTCATGTTGTCAAGACAACCCCCTTTACACCCTACAGCGGCCTCACTTGAGATCGGTTGATTATTTTCTTCTTTCTGTACACTTGTTTTCTCTTTCTTTTTGTCGCCCAAATCTTCTTTCTTTCCACCAACGTTCTCACTCTCTCCAAAATCAAACAGAGATTGCGTTGATTTTTTCTGTTCTTTTTTTCCAAAAGTTTCAAATTTCTTCTCGCTTTGGGGGTTTTCGTCGATTTTGTGAGACGTTTCTCCAAACGCGCTTCCAAAGTCAAACAAATTATTTTTCGTCTCAAATTTCTTTTCATCTTTTTTCTGATCTTCTTTTATTTCCTTTGTTTCACTTTTCTCTTCATTTTTGTGATTTTCTTTGATTTCTTGCGTTCCAAAATTGAACACCGAAAAATTGTTCTTTGGTTGTTCCACTGTTTTTTCTTCTGTTTTCTGATTTAATTCGTTCATTTTAGTTTTTTCATTGAAACTCTCCAACATTGGTGAATTTCCAAAGACTGCCATTCCCGCGTTGACTTTAATTTTCTCTGTTTCACTTTCTTCAAAATGAAAAGCAGAAAAATCTGGTATTGGGGCAGTGCTTTCTTTTTTCGTCATTTTATCACTTTCCATTGATTTCTTTGTACTTTCCTGTTTCTCCTCTTTTTGTTCTGTTCCTGTGATTGACGAGTTGAAATCAAAGATCTCAATCTTAGAATTGTTATTTGACACATTGTTCACATTAGATGATGATGGTGTCATTGTTGGGGTATGCTCCTTTTCCGTCGTAAAAGATGCTCCGAATGCGAACACGTCACTCTTCAAGTCTTGCTCTTTCATTGGTGTTTTTTGAATTTCGTTTTCCTCCCGTTTGAAGTCGCTTTGGTCAAAGACAAATGATGTTCCTGCCATCAAAGGGGATCCCTGTGGTGCTTCTGGCGTTACGTTCTTCTCTTTTTTCTCTTCAGGTGCACTCTTTTGGCTTCCGAAAAAGTCGAAAACGGTATTTGAACTCACACTGGCGCTTTCTTGTTGTTGTTGCATACTCAGTTCCGCCAATATATCGTATTTGTTTTTCGGTTGAGGTGGTGTCGATTGTGTGAGTTGTTCAATTTGCGTGACTTGAGGTTGTAAATTCGCGCTTTTACTTTGTGGGACGCTTTGGATCATATTCACTTCTTTTTCTACTTCAACGTGTTGAGGTTGTTCAACGGGAAGGTCTAAAAGTCCATTCACTGGTTGACTATTACTCGACGAATAAGATAGCCTTGATCTCATTGTCGATCTCTTTGGTCCAGTAATTTGTGTTTTCTGTGTTGGCGAGAGTTGGACTTGTTTCGTCGTCTCTTCGCTGTAGTATGTTTTATTCACAAAAATTGTCTTAATGAATTCCCTTATCCCAGTCTGATCACCGGCTTTTGGTAATGAAAAATTCGACGGCTTTTTCGCGAGCCAAATTCTCCTCCCCGCGGCATTCCCACTGTTTTTTATCTTGTCGAATTGGTCGGTTGTCCAGTTACTCATAGACACAGACTTGACACGATGGTTAAATTCTCGACTTATAGTTATTGAATAGTTTACTAATAATACAATATAGTTTAGTGCCACTTGACTCCACTAGAAATGAAGTAAAACAAACTGAATTCCTGAACATGATGTGCATACAAATATGTTGAAATCAGTAACAATAAAAGCGGTTCCAGTTCGACCACAATTAAAGCAAAGTCGATTGTCACCAGTCATTGCTAACGATTCCATTTTCTGGATTAATCGCTCACTCATGTTGTTTGATGTTGTATTATGAGTTTCTTGTTTTCTCCTTTTTTTCAAAACATCGATGTGGTGAAGTCTTCATTTTTTTGCTTCTGTTTTTGTTTATTTTGTCGTTTATTTATTTTTTATTTCTATGGCTAATTTTTTACTCTATAATTGAGGAAATAAGTACTAATAAAAAATATAGAAAATTTTATTACAATAAGGGCATCTGCTTCGGTTATGTTTTGCTCAATTCAAGTTCGCCTTTGAAACTTATCAAAGAAAAATTTAGTGGCTTTCTTTTTAGTTGTTATTTACTATAAACAACTATTAATATAGTTCTAAACCAACTCGTTTTTAATAATTTAAAAAAATCTGATGAGTATAATAAAGTATATTATATTATATTATATTATATTATATTATATTATATTATATTATATTATATTATATTATATTATATTATAATCCATCTAATATAATTAATAAATATATATAATACTATAAGTTCTATCTTTTATAATTTCAACCCAAAAATTGTTTTTGTTTCGATTTCTGCAGTTTTTCTGAGGCTGACTGTTTTCTAAGCAAATTAGAATTCTAGACCATCATACGATTTACTACCACTCAATTACCACTCAAAAACAGTTTTTGTATTACCATTAATAGAATAATGCCATTTTCTTAATGAAAGAGTAAGAAGACCAAACAATAAAATGCATAAGAACTTAAAATTTCAATGACTTCACAGCAAGAAATAGCGCAGAAACAAGCGTCCCAGATGCGAAAGGGCGATTGTCAAATAGCGATAATTGGGGACGAAGATTCTGTGACTGGATTCCTCTTAGCTGGGATTGGGTCTGTCGATCGTCTGAAGCACTCAAACTTTTTCATTGTCGACAACAGTTTGTTTTAACGCCTCCACGCCTTCAAAATCAATTCGTCTTATCAACAGAAACTCAACACGACAAACTCGTCTCGACTTTCACTGACTTTGTAAACAGAACGGACATCGCTATCGTCTTAATCACACAAAGCATAGCGGACACTATCAGAGATATCCTTGATGGGTATGATAGATACCTTCCCGTCATTATGGAGATCCCTTCCAAGGACCACCAATACGATCCCAACACAGATAGTGTGATGATGAGATTAAAAAGAATGACAGGAAGAGACTAAGCACCCGCTCCACCTACAAATGGAATGTTTTGTGATCGTTTTCGTTGTCTTTCACATAGTCCGTCGACGCAAAGGAAATTATAGATGTCAAATAATGTACTATATTTTTATAATTTTGATATTTATATGTTTATAATACAGTTTTGGAAATCAGCTCTAATTTATTGTAATGTATTTATTAGATAATATCTAGTATGTAAAATATAATAATTTATAATAAAAGTGTTAATATTAATAATTATATACAATATTAAAAATTAACATATCATTGTAATTAATTATATAATTATATTGTAAAAGTGAAAGAAAAAGATTGAAAAAGGCAAAACGTACGAACATTTGAGAATTGAAAAACGAGTGAAATGATAGCGAAAAAAGGCGATGGAAAAGAAGCCTCTGATCGTGTATTATTCCAACAGTAATTCAGTAATCGGAGAAATTGCCCATAAGCTTGCACTTGATGTGAAGGGCGATATTTACGAAGTGAAAACTACCGAAAGAATCAAACGACCACAACTCATGCAAGACGGAAGAAGGACATACAGCAAGATCCCTGTAATCTTTGACCTGATAGACTTTTCACCATACAACGAAATATTCATTGGCGGCGAATGGGTTGAGATGCACTTGGTCGGTCCGATGAGGTCGTGGATCAACCAGAACAAGACGTACATCTTGCGAGACGACGTCAAACTCATCTTTTTTGTCTTTGATAAAAGGGGGAAGAAAATCAACAAGGCTTTCAAGGAAATGGTGGAGGTGCTTGGAGAGCCGTATCGAAGACTTATCATCACGCCTCAGGACTACCCATACCATTCACTCTCAAGAAAAATTGGGTACCACATGAACTCGTCCGATCAAGATGAAATTTACGACGAGCAAATGAATTTGGACGGCGTGAATTTGCTCGGGAAGACACCACCAAGAACGCGCCTTACTGCAAAACTTTCCAAACAGAAAGTGGAAAAGCACGAAGGATCAATTCGTGTCGAGTGAAGGGGTTGTAATTCCAAGTTTGCAAAAAAATGTATAATTAAATAAAACTTGAAATTTTATCTTTTTGGCATTACACTCAACACACCATTCGCACTCAAAAAATCAAAGAACAAACAACAGTAACAAAAATCATATTAAAAGTCGGTAATTCTACAATTAAACCAGCTGAAACAAGCCCGGCTCTTTTCTTCTGGTTCAATCCAAAAGTCGCACACTTGTTGTTCCTCTACTTTCATCTGTTTATTGTTTTTGTCTTTGACAATATGTCCAATTAGTCCGGGGATATTATTTCCACTCTTTGATGACACCTTGATCAATTCGATCCCATTCATTTTTAATTCCGCATCGTATCCTTCTTTCTCACCTTTCTGCTCGAGGTCGATTTTAGTTTCAACGACAACAACATCCGGCGATTTTTCCTTAAGGGGTGTTCGTTCTTTGCATCTCTGAATGGCTTCAATCCACTTCTTTCCAGCCACCCAACTTTCTTTAGTATTATCGACTACAACTATTATGCATTTTGTGCTCTGCCCATACCTCTGAACAAAGGACTCAGTCGCTTCTACTCCTGGGGTGTCCCAAAGTCCAAATTGCACAAAGTCTTTGTCTCCACAGAGTGTTGTTTTCACAACATCAATCCCTTTTGTTGTCTGTCTGTCATTTCACTTTTCATAGTATTGTTTATAGTAAATTTATTATAAATAAACTATTATGTATAATTGACAAACCTCATACTCGTCAGTGAACGAATCACAGACCAACCGACGAACAAGAGAAGTCTTTCCAACACCTTTACTTCCGACAACAACGACTTTTTCAGCCTCTTTTGGACTTTGTGCATCAATAACAACGAATGGATGGTTATTACTC